TTATGAAATATTTCACAAGTTTAAAATTTACCACACCCAAGTCCAATGACAGATCAAATAAAATCTGTATTGCACAGTGTAAAACATTCACAAGAAATACGAAAGATCAAAGACTGCGTTACATTAGTTTACGCTGTTGCTCATCTGCTATAAGTATTCTGATCCTTTCCCTCGTGCAATCTCGTTTAAGGCAAATATGGCACTATAGAGAAGAATCACAGAAACGTCACAACTAAAATGCCACAAGCTCTCATTTAAAAAAGAATTTAGAAGTCTTTGAACATCAAATGCAAAAAAGTTCATTTATTCTCTCATCATCACTTTTTTCTAGCCAGTTATTAAAGCACAGAATTAATTTAACTTCAGAGTACCTATGTGGCTGACAGTATTCCTGGCTTCTGAAATCCCCCAAAAGAAAGTGACTTGGTGGACAAGTATTGCAGCTGTTAGAAAAATCCTATAGACAGCTCACTTAAAAACACACAAAAGCACCCAGAGTCTGAGTTGTAATTTTCAGAAACAGTTTTTAGATGTTACACTCCTAGACTAACACACTTTCTTTCTTTTGGAAATGTACATGAACTTCCAAATTCTTAATGCAAAGGAATGTATATGCCTTCAACACTGCCTGGCACATGGTATGTGTTCGATAAATATTTATGGAATTAAATTAATCCAGCAATACTCCTAGGGTACTGCCATCTCAGGGACTCACCTGGCTTACACAAGGTAAAAGGGTAATTCTTTTTTTCTACCTCACTCTAGCATTCATTTTTGAACCCCTGGCCCATTAGACCTAGTTATGTTTCTAATGCTAGTAACATAAACAATACAAAGGATACTATATGGAACAATAGTTATGACAGTAGGTAAGCTTTATTCTAAATCCACTATACTCTGTCTCAAGTGCAAGAATTCTGTAAAACTTAAACACTGGTTCTGCACTAGGACTGGCGTAGCAGATTGAAAAAATCAGAGCTGACTCACATACAAGTCAGGAAACGTTGCACCATCAGAATTAAATACAACACTGAAATTATTTTTTAGAGTATTCTTTAAGTTAGAGTCTATATTTAAGGTGTAACAGTCGCCAATTTTCTTCCAAATATCCTCATAGAGCTAAAGCTACCGTTAGTATTTTAAAAAGAAGTATATTTAAAAAGAAGTATAAAAAGAAGTATATGTGCAAAGTTTAAAAAATACTCATGAATCCCATTTAATTCTTTTCTTTGGTCTTTCAAGCAAAGGAAATGAATGCACATAATGGGGCTGGACAGCTGTCTTGCTCTCTACAGTAACATCAATATATACCTTCCTAGTGGTCAGAACCCTTGGGTGAGGCGGCTGGCACAGTTTCTCAAACAATCCCATCCTCATATGAGTTAAGATCCAAGGTAGACATTTGGTATATATGCATTGTACTGACATCACCATTCCGGAAAGTAACCTATTGCTTTCCTTCTTATCACTGAAATGTCCTCAAATTTCTGCTTCCTAGTTCTCACTTTGTAATTTGGTTTCAATGTATTCCTTTTCACTACATCTCCTCTCCACAAAGTAACTGTCCATTGAGCTAAAGAAGACAGATTTTGAATTAAGAATGCTGAACTTTAAATCCACTCACTCACCCAACTGCCTTACACTCTAGAATGAACTTCCTAACAACCTTACCAAGTATCATTTTCTTCATTACTTTGTCCTGCTGGTCTTGAGATCAGGCTACAAATGTACCAAAATTAAATATAAAGTTCTTACTTTATAAAATTTATCTACCACTCCTCCCTTACATACACACCCACACACACCCAAACACACATACACATCAACGTTTAAGCATTATGATGGTTGCTGTGTTCACTTACATGGCTTCTGTCTGATGAACCTACTGGTGGCTGAGCTTAAAATTTTCTACTGACAAAAGAAATCAAGAAACAAACTGGAGTATGGAGTTCAAGTCATATTCTCTTCAAATTTCACGGAATCAATTTAAATGCATGTCCTAGTATTATAAATATTTTATAAAATAGTTGACATAACAATATGAAGAATTATTTTGTTAGGATTTTAATTTTTAAGGCAATAATTTCATCTCTACAATCATTCTCACTTCTTAGGTCCAACAATTAGACAGTAATTTGATTTCTGGGATGCAATGAAAAAATTCTTGGCTTCAGGAAGCCTCAAGTAATACTAAGAAATTTTAACAGCAAAATGAACAACTTGGCTGAAGACTGGAATTGCTTTTTTTGAGCACAGACTTTCAAAAAGTTGAGGGATAATCATAAATAACAGTCTCTTCACACACAGGCTAAAGCCACCAACCAAGGACATACTTCATAAACACACACTAGTATCATGAATTTTTCTTCCCATGAAGAGGCTCTTTTTTTCAACTTGCTATGGCAACATAATCACCATCATAATCACCAAATTCATAGAGACATGAATTTCTAAAAAAAGAGACAATCTATATGTATTCCTAAATAAATACATTTCTGAAAAAAAATCACAATAAAACAAGTGTATATGATAAATCTGTTTTCCTATTGGGAAAAGAAACTCGTTTGATATTAAAGAAAAACAGATATTTCACAAAATTAAAATTATCAAGAAAACTAATACTAAAATATTTGGTTTCTACAAAACAACACTCAAGAACCAGTGTTACTTGGTAAGACAGTATACACAATACAGGCTCTCAATAAATGCTATTATAAAGGTTCATTTTTATCATAATTATTCTACCTTTTATTGCCCACACTGTTCAGGCACTTTCATATAGTTAATCCACCCCATAACACTTCAGAAGAAATTATCCTAACTATCCCAACAAGGAAACATGCTCAGAAAAGGTTAAGCAATTAGCTCAGGGCCCTGTAGTTTATGATTACTTGGTGCATGACTGTGCTGTCCCCCTCCAAAGTTCAGGATCTTTCTGTACCACACTGACTCCCAAAGTATGTTTTTTATATGCCTCAATTTTTCAATTTTTACTTAATAGATCATTTCTTTATATATATTTTTCCATCTCAGGTCAACAACTATATATTATGTACTAATACCACAATCACTGGGTGCACAAGAAAACAAGACATGTGGCCTGTGTTCCAGAAGTTCCACTCTGGTTTGGCCAGACTTGCTCACGTACTTTTGACAGTTGCACATTCCCCAGGCCCCGCTCCCCCAGCACACACAGGGTATAATGAAAAGCACACAGGGTTGAAGCGACATTTAGGAGGATTCGTTTAGTCTGGCAACTCATCGTACAGGGCCCCCCCTTAGCCCTCAACTTCACCAGACCTCCCTTACCTAGCTACCATGAGTGATGCAAAGCTTTAGACAAATCTTCTCCCTCTGCCTTTTTTAATACGTAACCAATTATTTTTAAGAACATTTTTTAAATGTCATAAACAGAGCAATTAAAAGAAATTGATTAAAAGAAGTAACACTTCTCTTAAATGAAACGTATTAGGTACAACATAACCAGAGCACGCCTTCTTATGAAACAAGCACAATACACATCGACTTCTCTGAAAGCGGATCTAGCCTTTCTGTATATGTCAAACCTTGACAGAAAAATTGTTTTCCAAGTTGTCAGTCTCCTGGTTAAAATAAATAAATTCTAAACTAAAACTAAAAATCTGCAAACTAACAATGTTATAAATCCTCCAGCAATTTTTCTATAAAATGTTTAGGAACATCCTTAACCCACAAAAAGAAACTAAAAGGTATTTGTGTTTCTAAACACATGATCAACATGCCGTTTAATCCACCTAGTTTAGAAGAGAAAACAAACCAAGGAGGAAAACAAAGTACAACAAAACCTGTGAGATGAAACCTGATTGATTCAGAGTCCATGATAATTTGAAGGGTTTGAGTAAAGCTTAAATACTTAAAATTTCCATGCTGAGTACATAGTTGCTGCCCCTGAGAAATTCACCTCTCACATATTACACCCTTAAACTTCTATTCCTCCACTACCTATACTTTTTCCAACACAGAAATATCTGCCTGACCTGGTTCCTGTCCTCATCAAACCACTGAAGTGCCCAGCTACATAAACACAATCATTCCTGAGTTCTTTATCCTCCGAACAGCTCTGAAAGGATACGAAAAACTCACACGTGCACTGCCAGACCCCCAACAAAACAGCTCAGTTAGGATTTAACATGAAATTCTAACAGATATCTACAAATATTCTTATTGCCCTTACAAATCTTTGAAAAGATCCACGTTTTGATTCATAAAAAGAAAATTTAGTTTCAACAATTTAATAACTACTTTGTAGGAAAAAAATCAATTATTTCCCATGATTAACGTAGTTATTCACAGTAACTATTATAAACGCAGCTGTGCTGTCAAGGAGTTTAAGCACGTGTTTTCTAAATTAAATATAAAATTTGGAAAATATGCATTTGAAAATTTATACAAAAAATCTTTAGTACTGCTACTGGTCTTCATTTTCATTTAAATTAAATTCTAGCAACATATACTATTAAACCATAGCACCAAAAAAATTAAAGAGCACAGTCTAATCAAAATAAGCATGGTTATAATTAGAACCAAATTATCTTTAAGTAATTTCCAGAGAAGTCCAAAATTTTAAAATTCTCAAAAAATACATAAAAATTACACATAGTCACCACACCACAAAGTTAGCAGCACCCTTTAAACTTAAAGTTTTTATTGTTAATATGGGCTTTCAACATAATTCTTAATATAAACATTTTATTCTATGTCCTACATTCAGGTACTAAATTATCTCAAAGTTAAAATCTTGAGACCAATAAATTTAATCTACTAAAGTGATTTTAATCCACAAAATTTTAAAAGTCATGTTTCCAAACACAGACTGCCAAATAATTTGCACATATAAACAAAAACGCAATTTTAACAATAGCTAGTACTCACTTAAAATAATTACTTGTCATGAGAAGTGTCCCAAAGGCACAGCAGATTTTCTTGTGAGAAACAGATACCATTCATTTTAGAACACTTACCACTTCTTCCAGTGCAGCACTTCGCCCAAAAGAACAAGTGAGGTGTGTGAGGCAGTTAACAAAGGAGGAGAAAAGTTCATTTGGAATGGCAGTTAAAACATTTCGAGGGAACACAGTTATCAGGTTGCTGATAATGCTGGAGATTCCCACAGCTTCAGAATCTTCTATTTCAATTCTAAAAATCAAGCAAGAGTGTTATTAAGTGGTAGTAGAAGAGAAGTCACAATCACGCATTTCCAAACATGCAAATATTATCACCTATTCATTTTTAAAAGCATAGCTATTAATTTCAAATTACCATAAAACTATACTTCAAAATATTTTAAAAAGGGAAAAACATCACTAGTTTCTTTTTTTCCTCCACTGTTAAAGAAAAAACTGAAAGTTCCTTTTTTCACTTGTGAGGGGCAAGTATACCTACCCATTGATAGTATTCAGTAGTCCCTCAATGAAGTGTGCTAGATAATCGACTTGCGAACCTTCATCAGGGAAGATGGGTCCATGGAGAGAAGCTAACTGGGCAAGGCACTGCAGGGAATCTTGTGCCATATCTGAATCTTCTCTGATTTTTCGATGTACCTGTTAGAAAGAATTACTAATCCATAAAAATAAATTCTTCTTTTGTAAGGGTCACGTGTCTATCATGCCAAATGAGGTAAGAGAAAAATTCACTGTAGTTGGCTATTTCTAGAAAATTAATTGTTGAATTAAACTAAATTTGAAAATTGTCCCTCAGTCCACTTTACATTATAGGACATGATTTTAAACATATCAATTAATTTTTAACTAAGGGCTACCTACATTTTGAAAATTGAACTGTCTCCAGCACGTTATGACAAAGAGAGAAACAGATGCCAGCCAGTCAGACATACTGCTTCTTCTAAAAACAGCAACAACGACAGTCATCTGTATTATGCTAACTATGCCTAGCTAGAGCTTCTTGCTAAAGTTAGCAGACAAGTTCAATCAGGAGTGTATAGATGCTACGTTAGTGGAAGTAAACAGTTGCACACTTAGAAAACCAATATACCTGTCAATCCCTAGACATTCATTCATTCAACCAATATATAAGCACACTCTTTCATTAACTGCGATGGCCTACAATTTGTTTCATTCTCATTTTATCCTACATCATTGCTACTAATAAATACTAAAAATTTTTAAATAAAACTTTTATTTAAATTGTATTTAAATCCACTTTAAACCTCATCCAGACTTTATTTCAATGATACAACACCTGGTGAAACACCAGGTATACAGTTGCATGTGTGAAGGAAATGCTCCCAAAATATTGCTCCCTAATTTTACAGTGCTATAAATATTTTCAGATTTTAAAGATGGTTCATTTCTGTGATTTGACATAATTCAAATAACCAAGAAAAATACATTTAGTAAAGAAATTATAGGTAATGATTTTAATTCACCACAACATTTACAGAGTCCATTTTCTACTTTGGACAAGCATTTGACTTCTCTAGCCCTTCTTTTCCTACACCAATCCCTGCTTTCTGAATGGCACATAATATTAAACATTTATTCTCTATTTGTTTCAGGTTATGTTCACTGACTTCGCAATTATAAATTTATAAGTTAGTTGAAGTTAGAATGTTTCTCTTAGTCATTGGTATAGTGCTGGGACACAGCGAACAGACTCTCAATAAATCTTCATTCACGGATTGATTCCATCAACTTTAATCCCTGAACTTCCGAAGGTTCTAAGAAACTTAAAACCTTAAAAACTTAGTGAAAGTTACAAAGTTAATTTATCTACTGATATGCTTAAAATATGTTACCCTCTTTGGTCTAGAACAGTAGGTCAGCAAACCACAGCCCACAGGCCAAATCTGGATTCCTGCCTGCTTTTGTATGGCCTGTGAGGTAAGAATGGTTTTTACATTTTTATACAGTTGGGAAAAACAAAATCAAACAATAAGATTTCAAGACACATAAAAATTATACAAAGCTCACATTTTAACAACTGTCAACCAGGTTTTAGTGGAACACTGCCGTGCTTGTTTGCTGAGGCATCATCTACAGTCGTACTACAAGGGCAGAGCTGAATAGTTGCCTCAGAGAAAATGTGACCTGCAAAGCCTAATATTTACTACCTGGTCTTTACAGAAGAAGTTTGACAATCCCTGGTCGAGAACAAAAGAAATGTTTTTCAAAATATATTCTACTCTAAGTTTTATAGAGTAAATTAAAAGTACAACACAAAATCATATACCCACACTAATTCATGAACTTTTGAACGAAGCTTATTCTTAAGTTCCTTATCTGAAAACTGTAACTAAATTTCTGCCATTGTGCCTTTAACCTAATCAACATTCAAACATGATACCTAGGGAAACATTCTATCAACTAATACAATGCAATCTGGGAGAACAGAGGGCTTCTTTTCTACCACAGAGCCAAATGGTTGCTCACTCCTGGTCCAGAAAATGAAGAATCAAAAGAAAAAATACCTTCAAAGAAACAGCTAACATTGAATATGTGATAAAATAAAACAAGAAACTGTCTGTAGAGCCTGCCTGTACTGTTCAATTTATGTTATCTAACATACGAACCACAGAAAACTCAAGGTAAATCAATGATTAATTCTTACATAACATAGATTTTCGCCCTTCTTCCAATGTCAGCACTACAAAGAGTTCTACCATATCTGAACTATATTATACAACTTAAAAAATGAATTCATGACTTGAATAGGGAGAGAAGCAGAGGGAAAAGGAAAAGCAAAGTCTAGCAGAACACCCAGGGAGGTGAATGGTGAAGCAAGACAGGGAATAAAGAGAAGCAAGTAAGATGATAAATCCTACTGGAACATGTTGAATCTGAGATGCCTGTGGGCCATCCAAATTAAAACATCCAGTAAGCACTTGGATTATAAGACTCTGGAACTCTGGAGCAGTGTGTGCCGAATATAGATTTAGGAGTCATCAGGGTAGAAGTGGTGCTTGAGGGCGTACATGTGGGAGAGAGAGCCCCACAAAAGTGTACACAGTCAGCAAAGCTGAGAACTAAGACAGGAACACTATCGTAGTGTTCCTATCTCAGTATTTTACTAAATAAGTATTAGTAATTCAGTATTTACTTAGTATTTACTAAGTATTTTACTAAATACTTGGTATTTTAAGCAATAAGCAGAGAAAGAGACCACAAACAAGATCAGAAAGAATCTGTCAAAAAGGTAGAAGGAAAAACTAAGGAGAGCAATTTTCCAACACCTAATGGGAGAAAGAAAAATTGAGCATTTTGTACACTTCTGAGGGGCAGAATGCAACCTGAAGTGTTCCTGAATTCAAATATGAGCAACATATTTCAAGGCTCGATTCCACACGATAGTATATTTACGTTTATTGATGGAAATTTACGGAAATAGCGATGATATCCGGTGGAAAACTGCTTTAAATCAGGAATGAATTCACATAACTGAAAATAAATTTAACAAAAACTTAATAACACAAAAAGATGAGCCACTGCCTTTTTCGTAACAAATAACAAAATTAAAATTGTTTATAAACTGCTTAAATGAAAATAATAGGCCACAAATACAAAACTGTTAAAATAACAAAGTGAAAAAGAGTTAACTTTCAATTCAAAAGTTATTTGCCTGTGGTAGTTCACAGCTGACAGGAGCAGCTGTCCAGTCTGTCTAGACAGCTGTTCAGATTTGGGGTAGTTGTTTCCAGTACTGGTAGCAAGTTTTTCACCTTTTCAAAAACTGCTGGAATGGGATCTACTTTCAATCAAATGAATAATACTGAAAGTTGAACTTGGATACAAATCAAAACAACTTCTGTCAGATGAGGCAGGCAACAGATTTTTAAAACTTAGCTACAATTCTTTGATACTGATAGTCATTTCTCTGATTTAAGCAAATGCAAAGTAATCTTCTGAGTATTTTTAGAGAAAATATTTTTATGGATATCCATGGATAAACAATCTTGTTCTAGGTATTTTCTAATATACATCACATAACTACAATTTTTAAATGGTGCAAAAACGTTTTAAAAAAGTGAATTTTTTTAAACAAATGAAAAGGTAAGAAACTATAATTAATGGTTGGGATTAATAAGCAAAATACTTTTTTCCTCCTTAATTGGTTTTTATCTGTATTTCTGCCCCAGCCATTATATCTAAATAACTTGTATGTTTGCCCTATAATTGCAAATAAGCACCTAACACACATACACCCTACACACATATATAGTAGGTATTTTTTCCCCAGCTTTTGATCATTATATTGGGGACCCTCATGGGCAAACACGGGAGCATACTGCTTACTTCTCGATATTTAGCAAATAGTTAGAGTTGAAATAACCTGTTATTCAATAACACTAACTCAACCCATGACTGATAATTAGTCCATAAAAAGCACCCTACTGTAGAAGAGCAGCTCTCCAAGTGTGGTCCAGGCCCTGGAGCTTCCTAAGACCCTGTTAGGTTGGCTGTAAGGGCAAAACTATTTTCATAATAATACAAAGACAGTATTTGCCTTTCCCATTCTTACTGTCACACATGCATACAGTACAGTATCCCCAAGGCTACATGATGTGTAATACTGCAACCGATTGAATGAAGAAGCAGATATGAGAATGTGGCTGTCTTCTATTACCCCTGACATTAGAGAGATTTGCAAAAATGTAAAACAATATCACTCTTCTCACTAACCTTTTTTTATCAAAAATATAGCTATTTATTAAAATGTTATTTGTTGATATATAATGATTTGGTATTGATATTTTTAAATGAATTAAATTATTTTAAAGTTCTCGGTCTGAATTTTTAATATGGTAAATGTTAATAGCTATAACGCACATAAACAAAAGCTCTTCAGGGTCTTCAATCATTTTTAAGAGTGTAAAGGGAGCCTGAGACCAAGAAGTGTGAGAACTTCAGCTCTAGGATATTAAATCCTTCATAATTATATAACAGTTTTATAAATTAACAAGAACATTTCTACATGATTTCTGTTTAAGCAGATATATTGATTAGAAGAGAAGGCTTTAGAGGCGAAAAGCAATCTGTCTTGTTTTAGGTAAGAAAAACACAAAAGCACGTGCTCTTCTCAGTGGCACTTTTCCGTGGCCTTTACTACCAGAGATGAAAAGTGAGACTTACTGTGAAGAAAAGCTCCATGACTCTGCTGTCCAGGAGAGTCTCCCGCCAGCACTCTGTCGGCTTTAACAGTACGTTTTGTGAAGACTCAAACATCGCTATATAATGTCTGCCCAGTTATCTGGGGTCAAGGTCAACAACAATAACATTCTTACTTTGTCTAAAGTATAAGTATATCCTAAATATAACAGGAGCCATCCAGAAAGAATGTAATGGAAACAGTTTAAGCCTCTTCACATATGCTACATAATTCATGCATGAAGTTAAGGAATAAAAGGCATTAACTGCTGATAAAAAGAATGCTATAGGAATGTAAGATAACAGTTTCATTATATGCCATGCCGCAGTGATGTAGAAATTTAGATAACCAGAGATCTTAAGGGTGGCAACAGCAGGAAAAACACTAATGTAAAACAGACGCCAAAATACATACAAAAAAAGAAGAGTCAATCCCATTTTTTAATCCCATTAATGTTTATCCCATTATTCTCCCTCAATATCTTATAACAACTAAAACCACATATACAAAATGTGAGTCTTACATAGTCTGCTTGGAAAAACAGCATTTTGCCAAAAGAAGTATATTTACTGGGAAACGAAAAAGAACAAGAAGGGCAAGTATACACGATACAGAAGAAGAAAAACTCCCACACCTCAAGTATCCAGACACCAGTCTCACACAAAGAAATAATTAACTTACATAAAACTCCACAGGTGCTCATTTAAAATGCCCACAGACTAAAAATCAATTTTTATGGTGCTCAGGTGTTCAATATCAAACAAGCTTCAAAATAGAATACTGTCTTTGCCATACATAAAGTAACCATAACATATTCGTAGGTGTTTATGAACATAATTCACTCAATGACACTGACACAGTAACTGAAGGTTTTAGGAAATGGGAAGCTGTTTGGGCATAAAGATGGTGGTTATGCCCTTTCCAATGCTAATCAAATGCCCAGTAAAATACATCAACTAGGCAATATCCTCATTGCTCAATGAGAAATTTCAACAATAGTTACCTAAACTATAGCTTGCAAAAATCAGACATAAGTTCAAATGCTATATTTTCATTAAAGCCCAAACCATTAGCAGAGAAAACTGAAGGCTGTAACAATGGTTTAGAAACCATTTTTAAAAGATTATTGCTTAACCTCTGTTTTAGGTATCTAATATTATTTTGTCTTTGAAAAGCAAGGAAGGGCACCGCAAGTTCTTTCAGAAGAGAAGTCACTGCTTGTTTCTAAAAAATTACTCCAAAAATCTGCTGCAACTCCATTTGACTGATGAATAAAAGCGAAACTCAAATCAGGCTCACTTAAATTTTACTTTTCTCTTCCTTTATCTGCCCCCTTGTGGGGATGCAGAGGAAGAGTCAAAAGCCAAAAGAAAGTTAACTGTTGGAACTTCAAATAAAGAAAAGCCTGAAAAAAACATAACAGCTCATGAATACTAGGAGTTATTGGTATGACAAGTTTCTAAAACGATTTCACTTTCTCACTAAGTACCTACTTTGGTCTAAGGTTGTTAAGACTGGTCTTCACTCAGAATACGGTACACTGACTGCAGATCAGATCTTATTGCAGGTCGTCTACAGACGAAGGCTTGATTAACTTTTAGAGAAACAAACTGAAACATCTGTGGCAGGAAGTATTTGATATCCAGGATTTGCTTCACAGTAACCCGGGGATGGGAGAGTTGCAGATGAAACAAGAACTTAGAGCTGCTGAAGCTGGGTATTCTGTTTTTGTGCATCTTTGAAATTTTCCACAATAAAAGGCTGGGGCATAAAAAAAGCAGGCGGCTTGTGAATATGAAATAAAGCACCTAAGTAAGGCAATACATTCTTTGTACTTCATAAAAAATATTCCATTTATTCTTTTCCAGTTTTATTCCCTTAATTTACAATGTCCCATTTTATTAATTAAAAGGCAATTTTTTGGTATGTAAACTGTTCAGAAATGAAAAGTACTTATGAAATACTTATATTAAGGACTGTGTTAAGCAAAAATACACAAAGAAATTATGACAATCTAGTTCCCTTTTTTTAGGAATTTGCAGTCTGAGATAAAAATGATAAGAAATTGTTCATTTGTTGGATATCCAAATCTAAAAAACAAAATATATGTGTATAATTACTGAACACTTTTAACTAGATAAATAACAGAATTTATTAATACTTTGTATGCTTACAAAAAGGCGTCATGATTTTATTTTTAAATTAGCTGGTATATGACACGGATTCACATAACTATAATAAAATGTTTGGTCTCAAAGCAGACCATTTGTCACTTTTCTCGTTAACATAGCCACCAGGCAGCTCGCAAATGCAAGCCGCTCTCTCTGGGTAAGAGAAGCAAATACTCCAGGTGCTGGGAACTGCAAGAGAAAGTTAAAATCTAAAAGTTCAAGCACAGAGGAAGAATATTGACAGCAGAAATAAAGGAAGTAATATTTATGGATTTTGCTATTCTTGGAAATATGGAAACTCTCATTCTAAGTGAATGAAAAAAGTCTCCTGCATTCCAACTAAGCCAGTCAGTTATAGCAGGCTGTGTTCTTTACTAAGTGGAGGAGATCACTTCAAAAGCTAATAAATATTACAAAAGGAAACTAAACCTAAACCAAGAGATTTGTTTAATTCTCTTTTCTATCTTTTTTAAGTATAAAAAGTGTATGCTCCATAAGTATTTGTAGATATCGATTATTTATATTAAGAAGAAATGGAAAAGTCCTAAGTTTAAGAGAGGGCTTTTTCCAGATATGAAATGGAATTAATGCAATTGCTCACCTAAACATCAGTTCAAAATAATCCTCAAATCTGTTTTTTCCAAATCCTTGTTTTAGCCTCTCTTGATCTTGGTCTGTTTCAGACACACTGTCCCTGGTGCTCAGTCTGTATAGCCAAATTTCCTTTAAAAGCTGACGACAAGCATGTTTTTAAGATTTGAATTCCTTACATGTTGCCAACAGCATATGGAGATCTGTGAATTTAATATCTGATATCTATCAGAAAATACTTTTCCCTATCATATTAAAGTTCCATGTGAGTTTTGTTTTCCAACCCCAAACCTGGAAAGGATTTTTAACTCTGGCATGATGTTTGCTTTCTAATAAGAAAGCTCACTTGTAAACACACCTCACAAAGAGGTTATGCTAATTGTTCTTTGAAGAATTAATCCACAACACTGCAGACTTAACTACCTTCTCTTTATCAGTCAGCCTACCACTACTACCAATACCCTTTTCATAATAAAAAATGCACATAAAGTCCAGTTTGCACAATAAGACACAACCATATAACTTAATTACAAATAATCTCTCTCTACTAAAAGAACACGTAATTATCCCGAAAGCATTTTAATAAAAACTTAAACATAAAAACAATAAAAAGAACAGTATAATAATGAATGGAACAAATGTTTAAGAACAGGGCGATCCTCACAAGAAACATATGTTTTAGTTAACAGATTGTGCTGTGAAGCTGTTAAGTTGTTGTCTTTGAATAGGAGACTATGAGGGCCCTTCTGTATTACCTGAAATATTGTTATTATGAATGTACATGTTATTACTTTTCAATTTAAAAAACTAGTTAGAACAAAATCACAATGTGAATACAACAGTCATATACAGGTCTGGACCACATCTGTACATTTAAAACAATGTGAAGAATTAGGATAATTCAGTTTTTAATTTAATATTACCAATTAACTATTTCTGTATGTACATATAAGAGACTCAAAAATACCACTTCTACCCCAAATAATTCTTAACGTAGAATACTTTCAAAACAAAAAGACTACCACTAAAATTCAGAAATACAGCACTTCTATTCTTAAGATAACATTTTAAAAAATGATTTAAAGTTTAAATAAAGCAATAGTTTATTTTAAAAACAACAGTTTTAACAAAACAATAGTTTCCTTTTTGAAAGTTTCCAAAGTTTTGGTTAAACAGTACTACTTTAACATGGGATAGTATCTAGACATTGTATTTTCTTTTTTTATCTTTATCTTTTTTATCCAAATATATTGCCAACAGAAGAAAAGTTTGGCAATAAAGTGATTACTCACTAATTAATTGCTATATGCTTGTCAGATTCTAGGAGACATATGGTCACAATAGATTGACACTAATTAAATAGCTACCATTTACCAAAATTCAAATCAGATTTTAAATCAAAAATTTTCTTGGGCTTCGGATTTATACATTTTTCTAAAATAAATGCTGAACTCAGGTAATTTATATTTTCTATCCAAATAATTCATTTGTAACCAAATCAAGTAAAATTTAACCAACAGTACAGTCATACAGAGTTGCTTTCAGTCTTTTAATAATCCTTGTGTTCTTAAAAATTCATCATCCACATCTAATCTTACTTCACTTTCCCATGTCTTCACCAAATTCAAGAATCAGGAGTTAGAGTACAACGATCTTTCTGTCAGTGAACCAAACACAAGCCCAGTCCCTCTTAGCAAGGGTTCCAGTTCTCAAGTACTAAAACCAGTCTTCTAAGCACAATGCTATCTTAATCCCCTGGAAAATCAGTTGCAGCCAGATGTAAATTCAATGGCTAGACGTAAATTCAACCACAGAACAGTGAAGAATTAACTCTCTGTTCCCTAGCCTCCACTCCCACAATGATCCTACCTAGCTCTAAAATGCTCTGCCTGGGAAAGCACACCAACTTCTGAGCAATCAAAGGCATATGAACATACCACCTGCCCTACTCTGTAACTGCACGACCAGAGACAACACACACTCGGCCCAGAGCCAGAGGACAGGGCTTAATCACACCCTGCTGCTGACTGTCATCGGATAAACCTTACGAGAACACACAGTATTATCAGTAAGTATATACCTCTTAACATGAAGGGGAAAAAGTCATCTTTAGAAATGCTACAGGTCCTTACAATATGCAAATGAGTTCTTGTTCATCTACTAAAACTTTCAATAAAGGTACCATTTTGTGGTGGTGACCGACAGCAAAAAGACCAATTAAATGAACCATACAATAACTACAAATTATCTTCAAGCAAATATGGAGAGTCTGAACATTTCCACTGCCTATTCTTATAAGTAGTTTACAATATAGAAAGATCGTGCAGCAACAAAG